AATACATAGAAATTGAATGGTATGCATGTAAATATTCCTTAATTTTTAATAATCCCTTAAATATTGCCAGAATTTATGCCTTGTTTCAAGCAAAAAAGGTACACAAGTGTCATCCAAAAAATAATTATAAAATATTATTTATAATTATCTTTTAAGCATAAAGAGTAGCCCCCTTACATCTAGATTTAGGCCACTATTTTATCTAAATAAATAAATAAATAAATAAATAATTTTTGGGGGCTCTAAAGGTAAAAAGCTATGTCACCCCACATATCAACTACTACTCAGAAGTAGAGTGTTCTTTTGATGCTTAAGGCCTAAGTAGCCAAAGCCAGCATTGGGATGATTAACAAATCATGATTTGATTCTTAATCATGATTAAGTTTACATTAAACGAATGGTTATTAATGTAATCACTTGGCCAAATGTGACCTATAGACTATAATCTCTTTTTATATTGATCTCTATGCTTTGCTCTGATTCCTAGATTGTCTTTTTTGAGTTAATTTATGGTATCCTGGTCCCTAATAGGCTTTTAGGGTTTTTTTTATAATTCTTTATTTGTTATGGGGCTTTAGGAAGACGTGGCCAAATCAAGTTTAGTGGCTTCTTGTGACTTTTATCATATTTGTGTAAATCATGGCGTAGGCAGTGATGTAATCATATATATCAAAAGGCATGACCAAAGGCTATTATACGAGCCCCTAATCACCCCTAATGTGTCTAACAATTCGAGTACCACTTTCTTAAGAACATTTGTGTCAGAGAGTATTCAAACCCCTGACCTGAGGGGTCTTATACCATTGATGTCAACCAACAGATTGGGGTATGTGACGGTGATGTTATAAATATAAATATATATTTGTAGAGAATATAATGAGGAGAATCACTTGTAAAGATTATGATGATAATATGGTGATAGTGGTTGAGTTACAACGATTAGATAACGACAAATGCTTTGGATATTTAAGGGACAACGAATGAGTTGTAAGTGTCGAAAAATGGTAGATGAGTTACAATCGTGGAGTTATGGTTGACCAATGATGGTCGAGCGATAATGTTTTATTACAATTTTTGTCGATATAGTATGTTAGAGTGGGACCTGAAGTTCTATAGATCTCTATACTCTTATCAAATTTAGTTCTCAATCATATGAAGAATATGCTCTATGTTATTTAGAGTTAATTTTTTTTTTTAATTTTAGTCAAAAACAAAAATAAGTTATCATTTGATTTAAGGGAGATTTGCAAACATAGCACACAATTGATATGTAATTACATATCTCATACCTAAGGTTTCATATTTACGCACACATCACTCAAATACTTAATATCACATTAAAAATAGCACTATTCCCGGCTTTTAAAAGTGAAATACACATTTTCATGCATATGTTCAATATAACAATATATTATTTATATAAATATAAAAGTTTAGGTGTGAGATATGTACATACTTAAGATTTGTGTCTATTCAAATTTCTCTTTATTTAGCATGTAAATGCTTTAATGACATCAACATTAAGTGAGCTCTTAAGCTCGATTCCTCTTATCAACACACTCATTTTGATTGTAAACAACTTCTTCGGACTTAGGGTCCATTTGAGGCAGCTTATTTGGTGCGGTAATATTTTGAAAACACACCTAGCCTGTTTGAGTAAACTGCATTTTGGCCGCTTATGCGTTTTCAAAACGCTGAAAACAACGTTTTTACACCGCATCTATCTAGATGCAGTGACAACTTTCTGCCAGGGTCTGGCTTTTCCAAAAAAATAAAAATTTCTAATAGCTATCGTACCTAGCTTATCAGCATATTATTCAATAAGCTGCAGCTACCCCAAACAAACCCTTAATTTAGTCTATCATGTCATAAAAATACTCAAGCATGCATCATGTGCTTAGTTTGAGCTAGTTTACACTCGAACTAAAAATTTGTTGCAATTGAAAATTTCTCCCATTAAAATGTTCAATTTCATTATAAGTACGTTTAAATCAAAGTATTCCATAATTTTTAGAAATCCGAGTTTGTCCAAGTAGATCATTTGATGATATATCAAAAATAATTATAATATATAATGGATCAATTAATTTTCTTTTATATTTATCTAAAGCAAAACTAAAAGTTTCAAAATCTAATATAATTACATTTTAATTAGAATTGATGTGTGTCGAAAGATTTGCGGCGGTGGAGTAATAAATTATACTTAACTTTGAATGAAAATTAAACACTCACTCAAATAATACAAAATTAATCATTGTGAATGCACAACAATATTTCATTGATAATAACAATAGGCTCGTTGTAATGAATGTAGTTCTCAATCATAGAAGACGTCAAAGGTCGTAGTCAATTGTTATGGAGGTTGTAGTTCGACATGAATATTATAAATGGTGGTTGTAGCGCTAGCTGTAATATTGGTCGTAGTTGAAAACTAGGATAGTAATTGACCGTTTGGGCCGCATATGATTGTTTCAGGACTGTCAGTTGAGTACAAGGTCATAATAGGAAGTTGCAAGAGCTGTGAGCTACAAAAGTCATAGTTGGTCACATATGTCGTAGTGGTGATTTGTGATGACATCTGTTGCACGCAGATTCCAAACTGGGGAGTTGCACGAGTTGTTTATCACGTAAGTTATAGTTGGTCGCGTAAGTCATAGTGATGAGCTATGATAACGTTCGTAGACTGTAAGGGTTGGATTCGGAAGTTGTATGAGTTATTGACCACGTAAACCGTAGTTGATCACCTAGGTTGTAGCGGTGGGTTATGATAACGTCCGTAAACTGTAAAGACCGAAGTCGGGAGTTGCATGATCTACGAACCATGTAGGTTATAGTTAGTCATGTAGGACGTAGTTGTTAATCGTGACGATCTCTGTAAGGTATAGAGACTAGGGTAGAAAGCTGAACGAGTAGTGGACCACATATGCCGTCATGATGAGTTGTGATGATGTCATAGGCCATAGAAGTCGCAGTCGAAAGCAGCATAAGTTCTGAACTACGTAAGCCATAACGGGTTACATAGGCCATATGAGTTGTGAATTGTGATGACATCTATAGACCGTGGGACAATAGTTGAGAGATGCATGGGCTTTCTTAATACAACTCAAAAACATATATAGACAAAAAAAAATATGCATATAAGATAAAATCCCAAGATGCTCTCCCAACCATTCATGTGCAGCAAATTTAGCATCAGAGAATCACAATGCTCCAATTTAGTCTATTAATTATATAAAATTGCTATGTCACCTTACGTAGAAATTGTGATGCAATTTTGATCTTCATCTAGCAAAATTAACCTCAATTTAATCTCAATGTGACCATTCTGGATCGATTTTATATAGTTAAAATGACAATATACAAACCAGCCTGACATACTGTAGGATTAATCACTGCTGACATTGAGTTAGCAAGCTTTTAAATAAGTTTAGAAACCTGATTAAACAACCTAGTCCTTATCAAGATTTTGCAGTTCTATATTCCCAGCTTAATACCCTTATTAACTCTTCTCTGGGCTGAAATAAACATATTTTATATCATTTATTTATTTATTTATTTTCGTTCAACAGCTGTACCAATATTATTATCCTAATTTTCGCCTATTAAGAACCGTTTACTGCAATCCTGGAGTCGGGAGCCGCATGAGCTATAGATCATGTTTCTCCTCTTTTCTGTTAACATCTCTAAATGTGCGGACACACGTGCGCAACACGTGTACACTCTAAAAATAAAAAAATCGAGCGCACAAACAGTGGCACATCAAAACAAGATCAACATATAAGGACAAATAATAATAATAATAATAATTGAAAAAAAAAAAGTCAAAACAAACAAAGAACAAAGAGTGGGTCATCAAAACCTGTTAAATCTCAAGACCAAAATTTCACAAAACTATTAATAGAGCAGGTAAAACAAGAATGGTAAGTAAAGAATTGCCTGTGTAAAGTGTCCAAAATGTAGGATATAGAGTATAGATAAACATACTTACAGTTAACCGCCTCAGACACTGCCGAGCCAAAACAGTAGCGGAAACTGTGACACAACCATTAAAAGAAGAAGATAATGTTGTCGGCTCGAATGTTTTTCATAACCCCTCGTACCGCCCAGCAGAACCCTCTTCATCGTTTTCAAAAGAAACACACCTGTGCAAATACAAATCCAAGGCAGCATGAAGTAGTAAGAGAAGCTCCAGAACATCCTTGTCATAATGGCCAGCGATAATGCTGCAAACGCATAGCCGCCGTATGCGACGATGTCAAACAAAGGAGCCTCTCCGCTGCCCATCGAATACAGAATCCCTTTCAGGATGAGCACCTCCAAAAGCCAACCGAATAATCCCTTCGTAAACTGCAAACTCAGGGCTTCTGGACTGAATCTGCATGATAAAAGAGGACCTCAAAAGAAGATTAAAAACATGCAGTGGGAATAGAAGATGCATGGGCTCCCTCCAAAATACCACAGAATTCATATATATCTACATATCTAAAACCTATACTTCAATTCTTACATAGATGCCTCATTACCTATGCACGAAAAGGTGCACTTCACTTTTTAAAACTTAAAATGGTGGTATGTTTTAAGTGATATGAAAGATTTGGGGGGTATAAATCTAAAAATTAAACTTTAGGTGGCAGATAGGTAAATACATAGGAATTGGGTGGTGTGTTTGTAAATGACCCTAAGAAGATGTCCAAAGCATTACCCCTATATTATAGAGAGGTTGCTTTTGTGATTCAAACAGGCGACCTCCCTTTAAAGCCACCTAAACATTTCCCAGGAGAACTATAAAGTGAAAAATGAAATACTTTATACGTTTGAAATTGACTGATGTGATGGCTACCTTCCGAAAACGCCGGAGTAGAAACCAGTAAGAACAATATAGGTACCAAAAGCCATGAAAGGAATATAAAGGTCCGGAGCATTTATGTCCTGGATTGGAGGTTTGTAAGAAAGCCTTCCTGCGACTGGCTCAGTTATCCTTGTCCAGTGTCCCTGGAAGAAAGAACAGCAACATAAACATTCTTGGTCTGTTCAGCATTGAGCAAAGAGGAGAAAAACTAGGCGTTAATCATGAGTTGGTGCTTACTCTGTGTAAGAATGGAAATAGGATCACCTTCAATTTATTCCATACGTACAGGCCATTCACCTGGAAATAGTACTGTGGATCAGAGAGATGCTGAGCAATCTGTTTACAGAAACCCAAGAATGTTCATGATTTCAGATGATTATGGTTTTGGTTGAGCATTTATATTGTGGATGAAGTCGTATAAATGCCTTTGATTTTATGTGATAAGATATCATACATTGCTTTGCATAAATTCAGAGCTTGAGCCGAAGAACTTTTCACCATATGCACCCAAACTGCCACGAATGATTCCGCTTCCAGCTCCATGTAAGACGTTTCCGAAAGGATTAGATTGAGGGTCTGAAGGAGGTCTCTGCATTCCAGGCCAGTTTGCAAGATTATGTTCCATGGCTTCTAAATGCCAAAATAAGGAGAAAAAAATTATCAGAAAAAAGTATATTCGAAAGTAAAAAGATAATGCAACTCACTGATTTTTACTAACAGCAGTAATTTAGTATAGAAACTTCAAATAATCTATAACAAGGCAGCAAGAAAATTTTAAATAATGCATTTCAATAAGTTTTGCCATTTCCCACTCTATACTTCATGAGGAGTTCCATTCAAGCATGCTTTAAGGTGAAAACTTGTCTTCTTGTTTACCTACGCATATGCATCATCATCTAATAGAAGCTGAGTTCGATAAAGGTCAAAGTCTATAACAATTGCCGAACACAACATTGCGAGAATCAAGTTTGAATTGACTTAACTGCCATAGAAGTTGCTCAAATGTCTTTCATTAACAGAATAGGTTGCCTTGATGCAACTAGAGAAGCAAAAATGCCCAAGGCAGACTATCGGACGGAACTGAAGGCCATTGAATGCGACAATAAGAATTGGACACGAATAGATTCAATCAGTATTGACATTGCCAGAATATCCTTCCTTTGTAAAGTGCGTCAACGCATTTGATGCATCAAAATTATTCAAAATTGACACCCATTATATTTGTGATGTGGAAGCGGGATCCCGCAATCTCCCGCACACGCAAGATCAAACGCAGAAATGAATTTCCCCTCCCATGACGAGTTTAGTTAGCCAATGGGCTTTGTTGGTCCTACTTTTTCTTTTAGTTTTGAATTAGAATTAGGGTTTAATTGATGTCTTAGTATAAGTACGTTATTTAGAATCAAGTTTGAGGACTTCTGCTCTGGTTTATGTATTTGGAGATTGAAGCCTTTAATTATTATGCCTTAAAGGAGTATTGTATCATATTTCCTTTTCCAAGGGCTGTGTCTATAGCTTGTTTAGGAAAATTGGTGGATCTTCCTCGGTAGTCATGCCTTGCCGAAAATGTTGTTTCTTTGTTCTTCCAACTATTATTTGCCGGTACAGCCGCCAAACCTCTTAAAGCCCCTTCCAAAGCCCGTTGACCTCACATATTATTTCCCCTTGCTATTCTACAATCATCTTCCCACTAAATCCGATCATTGAACACCGTCTAAAGTATCAGAGCCCGACAAACAGTAGTACTCTAGAGAATTGTTTTCGTTTTTCCCACCCACTTCTTTAAGCCCCTTCCAAAGCCCATCGAACTCACATATTCTTTCTCCCTTGCTATTCCATAATCATCTTCCCGCTAAATATGATCCATAAACACCGTCCAACGTATCAGAGCCCGACAAACCTTAGATTTCAAAAGATTTGTCTTCGCTTTTCCTTTGCAATTCTAAACTTAAAAATCCACATAACCTAACTTAATACCTCCACCAAAAATCATTCCTACATCCTCTAGCCCCAACCCTAAATCACAAACCTAAAACACCCCCTCTTTGTCAGCTGAAATCCTAATTGGGAGAAAAGAGACACTATGCCACAGATGAGAAACATGCAAATATATGTCTAAGAACTCGCAGAGGAAAACATACAAAATGGAGATCCTCCAACTGCAGCAAAATCTTGTTGCTTGAGAGGAGACCGTCCGGAGCGGTCATCTATAGTTATAATGGTAACTAGCAAGATCAAGGGGAGAAAGTTAACCCTTTCCACTAGGAAGTTTATAAGGAGGAACTAAAACTTTTCTTTGCGAAATGAGTTGGGGCTCTAGTTCTCCAGAGATTTGTTTTCACTTTTCCCTCCCACTTCTTCAAGCCCCTTCCAAAGCCCATCGAACTCACATATTCATTCTCCCTTGCTATTCTACAACCATCCTCCCGCTAAATATGACCCTTAAACGCCGTCTAGAGTATCAGAGCCCGACAAATCTTAAATCTCTAAAGATTTGTCTTCACTTTTCCCTCGCAATTCTAAACTTAAAAATCCACATAAACTAACCTAATAACTCTTAGACATCTTCTTTATTAGACATCTAAAACACCACTTCTTTATTAGTTGAAACCTTAACTGCGAAAAAGAGACAATTTGCTACAGATGAAAAACATGCAAAGAGATGTCTAGGAACTAACAGTGGAAAACATGCAAAATAGAGATCCTCCAACTGCAACAAAATCATGTCGCCAAAGAGGAGACTGTCTGGAGAGGTCACCTATAGTTATAATGGTAACTCGCAAGATCAAGAGAAGAAAGTTAACCCTTTCCACCTGAAAGTTTCTAAGGAAGAACAAAAACTTGTTTTTAAGAAATGAGTTGGGGCTCATAGCGGAAGTGAAAACTTGAAAAATGAATTCATCAATGACCCGAAACAATTTCATGATTACATGAAGCTCTTTTAGTGGCAAAGACATTGAGCACCATATCTGACATGAAGTGAGGTAATTAAGTGTGCAATGTATATTATTCCTCCATGTGTTCAAAATTAAAAAAAATTTAACCAAAGCATATGAGAAAACAACAGAACTAAGGGAAGAAGGTAATAACCTACTCACAATCCACTAACACACTAATAGATTGTGAAAATCAGTAAATTAATGAGCCCATGTAGACGTCCCAAACAAAAATCAACTTTTTGATTTTTCTAAAAAATCAGGAAAGCACCAAATATATGCACTATCAAGTTTTAGATTACATCAAATAAAAAATGTGATAACTTGACAAGGCAAAATGAAATGAAAGAAGGATGATCACCACCTAGGTGCTATTCCAGAATAATGAATACACTTTTTAACCGAAATAATACTGAAAAGTTTATTACAACCAATCAAAACTCTTCCTCCTTCTAACATACAAGGCAGCCTTATAAATTCAAGCCGTTAACAAAAACAAAAAAATAAGAAAAAAGACTTAAACAAATATGACACCATACTAAAAATATAACAATTTCAGCTCATGTCATTCTTCTAGAGTTGGCGGGGATTCTTAATGAGAAGTTGTTCCAAAATCAGTTTCGTAATGTGGATTTAAGTTAGCGACGTTGAACATAGTATAAATATTGTAGTCTACGAGAAGAACAATTTGATAAACATTGTCCTTAGTACGATTCACAATCTGAAAAGGACGAAAGGCTTTGGCCTTGAGCTTCCCATGTCTTCCCGTGGGAAAACGATCTTTCTTTAGGCAATACGTACTTCTATATCCTTCTATGAAAGTGACCATCCTTCTATTCTTATTTGTCAATTGCCAATATATTTCATTTCATCAATGATTTTCTTGTGAACCAACGTATGTAGCTTTTGGATTTCTTGTAGTAGAATCTCAATGTCCGGTGTCACCTCCTTAATAGGACAATCCAATATGAGATCAAGTGGAGAAATATGATTTCTCCAATAAATCACCTCAAAAGGGTTGTATTTGGAAGTTTGATTGTGGGACCGATTATAGGCAAACTCCACTTGTGATAGAAGAAGATCCCATTGTGCTAGATTTGTTCCCGCATATCAAAGAAGTAGATTTTCAAGACTATATTGAAGTTTGGTTCCCAATTTGCCCCATAATATCTTCCAAAAGTGGCTTACAAACTTAGGGTCTGTTTGGGAACACTTTTTGTTTCCTGTTTTTTTTTTCCAAAAACAAAAAACGGAAAACAAAACCAAAAATAGTATTTGTTCATTCATATTGCTTTTAATTTTATTTTTAAAACACATAAGGCTTGCTTTCAAAACATCAAAAAACACAAATTGTGTTTTCCTTCTTTTAAAAATATATTTTTTGGAGCATTACCTATGTAATGCTCTGCCAACCGCCGGCTGTTGCATGCCGGCCGCATACACCCGCCTCCTCCCGTCGCCCCCGCCGAACGCTGCTTGTCTGCCGCCTCCCTCCTCCCGTCGACCGTCATCCTTAGCCTCCCGCCTGCTGCTAGCCCGCCGCTTGCCAGCTCGCCCTCCATCCGCCTCCCGCCTCCCGCCTCCCTCCCGTTTCCCACATGTCGCCTGCCTCCCACCAGCAATCCACCTCCCGCCCGACGCCACCAGCACAAGTAATGGTAAGTGTTGAATGGAGCAAGCAGGACGTCGTATACACAATGGGCAATGGAGTTTAATACTAGAGTGTCACGTGGAACCAACCATTTTATAAAAAAGTATAATTTTTCTGCAAAAAAAAAAAAATACCCAACCAAACATGCGTTATATTTTTTATTTTTTAAAATATATAAATTATAACAGTACCAAATGTATTTTCTAAAAACAGAAAATGAAAATCATAACATAAACAAAACATACTAAAACAAAAATAAAAAGTGATCTCAAACAGATTTTTAAAATCTCAATCTGATGTGATAGTACGTGGAATGTCATGTAAACGAACCACCGTTTTGAAGTATAAATTGTCAATTTGAGAGGTGTCTAAAGATGTCATGCATAGTACAAAGTTAGTCATCTTGAAGAATCTATCCATCACCATCATGATAAAATCTTGTGTCGTCGAGTGCATGGTAAAACGACCACAAAATTCAAGCTAATATCCGTCCAAAGAAATTCAGGAATGGGCAAAGGAAGGTATAAATCTAAATTTTGAGTTGTTGTCTTGGCTAAATGACAAATGTGACATCGTTTCATATTACGGTCCACATTTTTATGCATAGAGAGCCAATAAAATTTGACTTGAAGAAGGGCTAGAGTCTTATCTCTTCCAAAATGACAGACAGGCCCCTGTCATGGCCTTCCACCAATATGGCTTCTCGAATGAAACACTTAGAAATGCATAAAAAAATTCCATTGAAGAAGAAATCATCTTAGACGTGAAAGATTTTATAATTTCCAATGAGACATTGTTGTCATGTCACTAGGAAATCAGGATCCTCGACTTACATTCCCTGTATTATTTTGAAACTCACAACTCTAGCTTGCAAAACTAATAGAATTGTTCATCGGCAACTTAGAGCATTGAATACTTTATTAGAGAGCCTGATTTGTGTTTTAGAGTAAACTTAAAAGCTAAAATCTATTCACTCCATGTGGCATGTCTTCCTTTCAATTTATTTTTATTTTGAAGAAACTTAAGGGTTTCATGACCTGTAA